GCGCTCTGGGGACCGGAGAGCACGGGGACGCATTGGAAAAAGCAAGTGATACCAGAGTACAGCGGTGCTCAAAAAAACAGCAGGCTGCAGTGGGGCAACGCTGGAGTAAAACCCAACCCGCACAGCAGCCCTCTCCACTCCTCCCTATATCCCTCTGGTCCAAACACCGGGAGCAGAGCGGCTCCGGAGCAGTTGTGGGTCCAGACAAACATCCCCAACTCACCGGGGGGTGCTTTGGCACGGGGGCCGGCGCGCGTGGGGTTTTTGAGGGGCAGCGGCGGGGGCATCTCGTCGCTGTGCGCGCGGCGGGGCGCGGGCCGCGCGGCCACCAGGATGCTCTCGTAGGTCCTGTTGGTGATGTCCATGCCCGCGCAGCTCCAGCGGCTCTGGGGACAGCTTGGGGCGCTCTGGGGACAGGCGGCGGGAGGGCTGGCGCCCGGGGGTGACGGGCCTTTGAAGGAGCGCTGCAAGGGGCTCACCTGGGCAGGGGGAACGGACCCAGATCACCAGTTACAGCCCCACAAAGCCACCCCGCGTGCCCGGCGCTGGGGATGGCAGCGGTACCTTCTCCTCGAGCTCGTCCTCGCTGTCATAGGGGTACTCGGCGGGGGGCTCCCAGTCGTAGTCCACGTGCACCTGCAGCGAGAGCTTCCCCGCCTGCGCCTGCTCCAGCTGCAGGCCGGGCCCGGGGTGCAGGGCTCAGCAATGGCCACCTCTGCCCACCGCCACCGGCCCACGCATGGGTCTCCCCTGTGCTACCTACCAGCTCCTCGCACTCGGCGTGCTTGAGCCGCCTGGCCACATCCAGGGCTGTCTCACCCGCCGCGTTCACTGCGCCAGGGAGGGATGCAGCTGAGAGGATGCCCCCTACCAAAATTCAACGGGAGATGCCTACGGGAAGGGCGCCCCAAGCCGCGCAGTGCCCCGTACCCATGGCAAAGGAGGCTTTGCCTTTGAGCAACAGCTTGAGGCAGTTGGGTTGGTTGTAGAGCGCGCCGTAGTGCAGAGCTGTGTTCCCCTCCTGCGTCACCCTGTCCAGGGTAAGCCACAGGGAGGAAACTCAAGGCCGGGAGCAGCCGAAGAGCCACCAGGTCCCCATCCTGTCACCCTCCTCCCCTCTGTGCCCATGTCCCCAGCCCCACGTACCCGTTCTGGATGATGAAGTCCACGAGTGGGAGGGAGGCCCGGTCCGCGCAGCGCACGGCCATGTGCAGCGCCAGCTCGCCCTGCTCCTGCCATGGGAGGAGAGCAGCGGCCTCAGCGCCCTGGGATGCTCCGAGCAAAACAGGGGCAGGAAAAGCACCCCCTGTTTTGCTAGGATGCCCGCAGCGGGCAACATACCTGGCCTTCGGGGCTAGCCAGGGGCTTGGTCAAGTCGTGCCCTTCGGCGAAGGCTTGGAGCAGGGCCAGCAGGTCCCGGGTGGGAATGCATTCGCAGACGCGCCGGGGGTCCGTACCC